AGTCATGGACTCATCAGTTTGTAGTTGTTAAAATGATGGATTTCAGGCCTGTGTTTCTGCTTCAGTTTTCCCATATAGGGATATTTAATTGCCTGGAGGCATATCTCAGTATGAGAGCAGAACCTAAGAGGGATTTGGTATAATTAAGTTGTGAGGATGACAGCTGCTTTTATGTGTTTATGCCTTTCATCTGGAAAGCTGTCTGTAGTACTTAGCCATGCTCACAGTGTCATTAATGGGATGTTTTGAATGTATCTCATCCTAATCTGACATTCATTTGAGGATGAACCTGCCCCTTTCTCTCTCTGTCCAGCCATTCATCCATCTATCCATCCAGGCATCTCACCCATAATCCCGTACTGGGCTAAATGTGCATAAATGTTTTGCACGTGCAGCTGGCACCCTGGTTGAAATATTCCTCCATTGGGGTAGAAGTCCAAGTGGGCAACAGGCTGTTTGATGCCCACACTGAGTCCCATGCGCTGTTGGGTAAATGTATGGATTGCATCCACAAACCTAGCATCCTCAGGTGAGAGTCTGTCAGTATGAGACATTCCCTCAAACAATGGACCTGCAGGATCCAAACCTAAACACAAACAAGACAAACTTTAAATATATTACCATTAACCAGGAAATAAAGTGTTTGCTGAGAATAAGGATCTTAGATTTCAAGTCTTTTTTGTTTATATGTATTAACACCATTTATTGGTTGTTTAGACTGACAATAATATCTCACCAGTAATTCTTCCCAAGGTTTTCCCAGACACAGCTAGGTTACTTCCAGCAAATCCAGATATATGAGCGCCAAGGCTGTAGCCAATCAAGTGCACTTTTCCCAAAGGAAATTGTTTGAAATCCTGTTACGGATACTCACAGATTAATGTCAAGTAGTAAACGTGTTTTCAAGAATGCTTGCGGTTGGTAAACGAAGCTGTGTACAGTATTGTATAAAAGATTAGGGTCAGTTTTTTTTAAAGAAATGAATTCTTTTTAATTAATTCTAGATCAAAAGTGACAGTAAAGATTTCTATTTCAAAGAAGTGCTGTTCTTTTGAACATTCTATTAACGGTTTCCACAACAATATTAAGCAACACAACTGTTTTCAACAAATGTAATACCGGTACTTAGAAATACTTCTTGAGCACCAAATCAGCATATTATAATTATTTCTGAAGGATCATGAGACTGGAGTAATGATGCTGAAAATTACACTTTAAAATATATTAAAATGTTCAAATCTGTTATTATTTTCAATTAAGATAATATTTCACAGTATTACTGTTTTTACGGTATTTTTGAATAATCAGTAGTTTTAAATAATTAGCATTGGGGAACATAAGAGATCTTAATAAAAAAACATTTTAAAAAAACTCACCGACCCCAAACGTTTGAACGGTAGTGAATATATACCCTTCTGCCTAAACATACTGAAAGTCCTTCAGTTTCATGATGTAAGGATGGTTGTATGTATTCCTTGTTAAGTTTCAGCCATAACTGTAAAGACATTTGTATTCCCAAACTAACCTCTAGCCACCTCAGCAGATGGGCAATGTCCTGTCCCACTATGCGTGTGTTCTGAGCTGCTATAGGATAGTGCTGGTGTGCCAGATTCAGCCAGTCTGTTATCACCACATTGATGCTTCCCTCTGAGCTCTTTAGTGCTGATGCCAGCCTGGAAATCCAGTTCTCCATCATTCCGTCCACCTATGGCACAGGGAGGAGGAGTTGATTTTTAATGAACTGCTGCTCTCCAGTTTTGTTTCTAAGTGAATTTTGTATCAGACGTTAAATAACTGCTGTTTGCAATGGATGCCAAGGTCTTTGTGACCTTTGGTACATTTGAACAATTGATCTGTTTTTCTATTAAATCAATGAACTCAACATACCGACCAGCCATGAATGATGATAGCCAGAGGATGGCTGCTATTGAAACCACAAGCGTCCAGTGTGCGAGGCTGGAAGAGCTCAACTGTGCACATGTTATCTATGTATTCCCCATCCGTGTAAAGCCTGAAGACTGATTTAGGTTCATAGAGCATCTTCATTCTCTCTCCAGGCTCAGTGTCTGTTAGGATGGTCATACACAAACTGAAAGTCTCAGACAGTTCATCACTGTGGTGGCCATTTTGTAAAAGGATAAACATCATTAGTTTGTACAATAGTTCTGGAATATTTATATTTGTGCATAAACAGCTATGCAATAACCTTGCATTAAATGATGTTACAAGTGAAAATTAGAGTTAAGCATGTTTAGTTCCCATAGTTCCAGGTGAACTTTGAGCTTGAGTCAAGGCAAAAAAAAAAAAAAATGTTTACCCACCACACTCTTGCTGATTAAATGAGCATGTTGGATATGACGGTAACACTTTAATAATGTCTTATTTGTTAACATTAGTTAATGTATTGACTAACATGAACTAACCATGAGCAATACATTTGTTACTGTATTTGTTCATCTTTGTTAAAGTTAGTTAATAAAAATACAGCTGTTCATTGTTCGTTACTTAACAAATACAACACTTGATTTTAATAATGTATTAGTAAATATTGAAATTAATAAAAAATGCTGTAGAAGTGCAGTTCATTATTAGTTCATGTTCACTAAAACTAATGTTAACTTATGAAACCTTATTGTAAAGTGTTACTGATTTGACACATTTGTATGAAATGTCAGAGCATCCACCAAAAAAAACCCCACTGCATTAAAATATGCACTATTTACACAGCTAATATTGAAGTGACACTTCTAATGAAGTTTCAACTTCACATTCTTATTCAGCTTAATTTTCAGTGATGCAGATTTTGCATATGAAAAATGTGCTTGTTCAGCCAGGCCAATGTGCAAAAGTCAAGATATTTATGTTTTTCTTTCAGTATTGAGCCTTTTCAGCTTTGATTTGCAAACAGTCTAGGAAATTATTTCTCTGTGTGATTTCATACGTTGTTTTTTTAGATATACTACAAGCTTTTATCCCTTTAGATCAGTAGGGATTAAATCAGACATAGTATAATTGATGCTGACTATCACTACAAATCCAATCCTCCTTGATATTTTACTTTTTTCCAAAGAGCATCAGTTGCACATTGTGTGCCACTTACTTTGTTCTGCAGAACAAAAAAGATGATATTTTGAGGAAAGTTTCAACTGTTTTTGTCCATGCAATCCAAGTGAATGTGGTCCAAAACATCATTGGACTAACATAAATCATTATATGTATAAAAAGCATCTTATTTTAATGCTCTGTAGAAATGGGAATGTCATACAGGTCTGGAACAACATGAGGGTGAGTGAATGACAGAATTTTCATTTTTAAGGAGAACTATAGAACTATAAGCATAATTCACCCTCACCTGCTCTGTTACCCCGAAATTTCCTTCCATCGGTCAGTTGAACTTGTGAGATGATCAGACAGAAGGACACGATTTTAATAAGAGTCTTCATGTTCAGGCCACTTCAGGAGCCCACACAGATAATCCAAATATTTTGTGCCTCTCTTTTTCTCAGGCAAGAAAGGAGAGCACTGAGGCAGGTGATAGTCCATTAAAACGGTCTGAGCCTGAGCGAGGGGAGGGATCAGTAAATATTCAAATGGAACTGAGCCCAGAGGAAAAGTTACTCTGTTTGACCTTTCGTAGTTTGCAGCCAAATGTTAGCCTGATTGGCTGCATGTTGTTGCACAAGAAGCTATGCCCCGATTGGTGAAAAAGTCTTGTCAGAAACGGTTCAAAAAGGCACATGCTGATAACATGACTACTCAAATACCATGTCTCTAAACATCATTCAGAAAAGAGGGATGTACAGTGATAATTTAACTCACTGGTAATTTGTACTTTTGCCAGTTTAACAATCTCCTGACTATAAGTAACGTTGCAAGGACATCAACTTATAGTACTGTTACCCTAACCTATAACAGTCTACTAATAGGCCTACTCTAATGAGAGTTAGTGTCGTCCGTCCATCCATCCATCCATCCATCAGCTAATGTTTTAGTTTTATGCACATCTGCAAAGATGCTGTTATTCACTGTTATAGAATCTGAGGGCATTTGAGTAAACTGGACAGAGGTCATCATTCACCTAGTTGCTTTCAGGATATCAGTCAAGACTGGTGCACATTAAAATGCCAATAGTCTTCCCAAGCATAATGATGTTGTTGATGATTTCCTAAATTATAATCAACTTTACATTTATTTCTCTCTCGTGTGCAGCATGTTGCTATTGTTGTTTCATAGAATGGTTGGCTGATGAACATGCTACAATCTGATTAGCAGAAACAGAGGGCATATGTATATGCATAAATTCAGTGGACTCAGATGGCTGATGGTGATGGTTAGATAATGATAATGATTAAATCAGGTCAGATACAGTTGTTTATTTCATCTCTTACTATTTAACTTAACTATAGCAGCATGTGGTTTATCCGCTTATACTGGATATGCTGAGTTGAACTGCTGTTTCTCTAAGCAAATTAATTCACAAATGTAACATTTGCATATTTGCGAAGGCCATTATCTAAGAAGGTAAATTAAATTAGTTTAGATGTGTCTCTTAGGGAAGGACTAAACGGACTGTGATGCAATACTGTAGAATACAGACACCTCATTCACAGGAAAACAGACATGAGTTATGTATAACAGTATGTTTATTTTATGTCAGGTCTACATTAGCAGAATGACAGTGCATGTCTAACATTTTGAATGTGGTAATTATTCTCAAAATGTTTCATGTATGAGAGAGTAAAAAAAAAAAAATCTGACACTGAAATTGAAATAACACAATAAAAGACAAAAATATATAATTTAATTTCTTTGAATTGTACAAACAACTGCTATTAATTCAAGTGCCAAGAAATAAATTACTAAGTTAATTTTTAAAAAGAGAAAAAACGTATCAAACATATTTTTTTCCCCATAAACAATAGCTACAAAATACCTACTAAAGCTTCAACTGATACATTACAAATATCATATTAAGCTTTGCCTGAAATGTGAACATGTCTGAATGTGGTATTATACACAATACTGCTCCTTTCTCCTTCCTTCTAAAACTTATTTTCTTCTACATTTAACACTGTAGCATAAATACACATTTATTTCTTCTTAAGCTTATATTTAATAGTTCATCACAGGTTTGTTTTTAGCATGCATTGCAACATTTATCCTGTTACCTCATGCATGTTACCTTATCAGCAGTTATGCATGCAGTTAGTTCATATGTACTGATTCGTCCGGACTTTTCATCTTTGAGTAAACAGAGTGGACAGTAAAGTACCCTCTTCCTTCGTTTTAGTGAGAGAAAAACATGTATCTGCTGTTATAGGGTTGTCAGATCTCTGTGAAAGTTAAGAAGAAGAAGACAAATAGTAGTAGGATTGGACAAAGGAATGAAGGACATTATAGATACAACAATCCTTGAGTAGTTCAACTCTCTCGCTGAGTCTGTACAAATTGCTGAGAAACCAGTTGGAAATCATGATTATCTCAATGCAATGCACCTGCAATCTTTTACTGGCAGTGGTGTGACACTTGTTGATGGTGAAGAAACTGCGGATGCTTTCCATAAAATACCTGATTGTTTCTATTTGTTCCATGTTGATGTTGCTCTTTGAACATTCTCTATAGTTCTACTTCTGTTAAAAACATGAAAATAACTAGAATTATGCATAATTAACACTTGCTGTCTTTCATAGCTGCTTGGTTTAATGAGTGTACTTTGGCAAAAGACTCAGCAAAGAGATCTTGAGGAAAAGACAGAGAAGAAAAGAGAGTTTCTTGCTTGATGTCTATATGGTGAAGGAAAAGATACCATACTTTCCCTCTCTTTTCAGTTGACGGTGTTTAATTCATATTTGTCTTTGACGCTGTTGTCATCTTCAAGGTACTTCTCAGGTTCAGGATGGTGCAGCTCAATCATTAAGAAGTAGATCACTGCCCCAACCACACCTCCCACCATCGGCCCGACCACTGGAACCCACCACCAGCCATTTCCAGCACTGGACACACACACAACGCACAGGTGAGAATAGAGTCAGGGCTGGGCAAAATTCTGAATGTAAGAATTTTCAAAGAAAAATATTCATTAGAATTTTACATGCAGTATGTTGAGCCAGAGTTTGAACTGGAATGACAGGAAGATGATTTTTTTAGGGCATCAAGGCTGCATTTATTTAATCCAAAATACAGTAAAAACAGTAATATTGTAAAATATTATGAACAAATTTAATAACCGTTTTCTTTTTTAATATATTTTAAAATGTAATGTCCTGTGATGGCAAAACTGAATTTTCAGCATCATTACTCCAGTCTTCAGTGTCACATGATCCTTCATAAATCATTCTAATATGATGATTCGGTGCTCAAAAAACATTTCTTTCATTATCAATGTTGAAAGAAAGTTGTGCTGCATAATATGATACATTTTTTTATTATCCTTTGATGAATAGAAAAGCATTCATTTGAAATAGAAATATTTCATAACATTATAAATGTCTACTTATCATCAATTTAATGCATTCTTGTTGAATTAAAGAATGAATTTAATACCCAAAACTTTTGAATGGTAGTGTATACACACACATATTAGTACAAACACAGTTTTGAAGCAGAATGGTCTGAGAAAATGTCTAGTATCATTTGTTTGCAGATGCCACTTGGTTTGATATTTTGCATTTAATGCAATTTTATTCAGACATAAATAAGTAACCAAATATTGTACAAATTATTTTTGTGGCCACTGTCTATAAATTAAATGCAAATTTTTAGTGCTGGACAACGATTAAACATTTTAATCCCGATTAATCGCATGAATTTATTGCATTGTTACGCACAAGAGTGAATAATGAATTCTAAAGTAGTGTATTGCGCACTTTTGATTTAAATGTACTGCTATATACACAAAAGTGCAATAACATGTGGTTTGCAAAAACTTTAAACAAATAAGGTGCTTTATATTCCCTTTACACATGCAGTAGCAATAAAATATGTATTGTAAATCTCAACTTAAACATTAATGTAATCAAATCAAATATTAAAACAAAGCTGCCACTGCCAGGGCATTACCTTTTATCTAGCTTGTTAAAACGAGTCCAGTTTTCTTGTTTTTTTTTTCTGAACAGGTATCAACCGGTACTATCTTTTATCCGGGAGCAGCAGAACAGTCTATAGTCAGAGGTCATGACCACTACTACAGATATAAGTCGACCAACGTTACTTCTCTGATAGTAGCTTAGCTTAGGTTTGGTCATAACATGGTTTCCCACGTACAAGTAAGATTACATTAACCAGATGTAAAGCCCAATTTATACTTCTGCGTCGAACTCAAGCCCCGTTCACACTACAAGCGACTTTGTCGCTGCATGTCGCCAGTGGCTGGCGATGAGGTCGCTAGTGGGAGTTCCCACTACTGGTTGCCTTTATGAATGACATCCAATGATGTGGAGAAGGATCACACGCGCTCCGCTCCTATTGGTTGTCGCTCCCGAAAGTCGCTCCTCATTTGCATAAAGTTAAACAGATCTCAACTTTGTCGCGTCGCCAGACACGCCCCATCCGGTCGCCAACGGTCGCCGGAAATCGCCAGCTCCCCATTGAAATGAATGGTATCGCGTCGCTTGGTCGCGTGTAGTGTGAACGGGGCTTCACGCCGTAGCTACGTACCTGCTGTGTGTAGCGCGCGCGTACCCTGACGTGCACCTCTCCAAAAATGTAACAATGCGTCAATTCTACGCGTACCGCAAGCGCTGTGATTGCTAGAACCGCTCCCTGCGTTTCACATGCATGTTCCCTCTGCATGTGTAATTGCGCGTCAAGGGGGACAACGACGCAGAAGTATAAATAAAAACCAACGCGTAGTCTATAGCGTATGAGGCTCCGGCGTAGGTCCGACGCAGAATTATAAATCAGCCTAGAGTGTGGTGAAGTGGTCGAGCACAGGTGCAACGACAAGCGGACGCGTTCCTGTGAAACTGTTGCGGTCATGCTCGCCTCACGCACGCGCCCGCGCCCTCGTGCAGCACAAATCATTGGAAGAGAGACTGATCCTCGGCTCGGTGTTTGTTATGGCGCGTTCCAGGCAACCTGTAACCTGTGTTTTTCCAACTCGTAACTGGGAGTACATCGTTCCAGGCAACCTGTAACCCGTGTTTTTCCAACCTTATACCCGTGAAAGTGCACTGGAACGGCAGTCAAACCCGTGACTTCCCATCCGTGAACTAGATCGATGTACTCCCAGTTACGAGTTGGAAAAACACGGGTTACGGGTTGCCTGGAACGCGGCATGAGTATCCACAATCTAAATAGTTATCAGGACGTCATCAACAGAAGGGAATTCACATGGCAGAGCATCTCCGCTAAACTAAACGCAGGTCTATCAGGTAAAGTTATGTATAATTTTAATTTAAGTTAAAAAGTCTTCAGCTGCGTAGCGCACAGAAGCCGTTGCCATGGTTACTATCCATAGAGCGCCGGTCATTCACTCGTGGGGCGCTGTCTCCCTTTCTGTTCACCTGAGAGAACCTGCCAAAGCCTCTCCACTGCTTGTTTGGGTGGGTTATTTGCTGGCTGACCAACATCCCACCCCTCCTGTGATCCATGGTTTGACTGTAGGCCTATGTGTATTCAGAGCCAGTGAGCAACGGAGTTTCAAAATAATAATAATAACAAAAAAAACTGCGTTAACGTGCGATAAAAAAATTGTCGGCATTAGGCTAATTAGCCTAATAAATGCGTTAACGCGATAATAACGCGTTAACTAGCCCAGCCCTAAGATTTATATTGGTGTCATTTTGCATATTGGTGATTCATATCTTCTAATGTTTAAAATATGAATGGGATAAAACATTATTTGGGACGTACCTGTATGCATTTCTTTGAATTTCATTCCATTTTAATTCTACACCAGTTGTGAATTACAGGTTAAAGTAGACTTGATTAGGAATGTGCCTGTACATTACTGGTGTATCTGAAGTGTTGTTCTGTGGTCAGACTGATGGATGATGTCAACACTGTTTTGGTGTCTAGTCTTGCTGCACAGACACTAATGCATTCATTGTAATCTGTGCTTAGTGTGTCACTCCAGTGCTCCCTGTCTGCAGCACTCTTTCCCTCCCTCAATCCCTTGATCCTTTTATAGGCTACTGAGAAAACAAATGCTCTGTGTCCTTCAACCTGCTCTACAAACAAGTTGGCAAAGGTATCTGTAAACAAAGGTATAGCCACTGCATACAGACACTTTGCTGAACTGAATTTATGCAACGCTCATGCACAATATAGTGTTTAAAAATGTACATGCTTGTTTGTTGCAATTATGACACCAGAGCCATTTGCACATAATCTGTCTTCGAGTTGGAAGACAAATTAAGCAGACAGATCAAGCACTTCCTCACGTAGTCAACTGATATGTGATTAGCTTTCCGTGGACGTCACACTGTTTGTAGTTGTAATGGGCTGAATAACAAAATATACAGAAATATTTGAATCAGACTAATCAGTAAATTTCAAGAGAGTTGCATGAATGAGTTAAGGGCTATAGCGTTTTGAAGACTTTTCACTTCTGAAATTTGTGATTGTAAACACAGCAGTTTTCTGTTTATCCACCTCTATTGCATATGCAATTATTTTATACAACACTTCTTCATTCTTTACTCAATCCTGTGCATAAAATCAGACTCTTTTTTGCTGTTGAAGAGCAGCAACAGAAACTCTCTCTCTCTCTCTCTCTCTCTCTCTCTCTCTCTCTCTCTCTCTCTCTCTCTCTCTCTCTCTCTCTCTCTCTCTCTCTCTCTCTCTCTCTCTCTCTCTCTCTCTCTCTCTCTCTCTCTCTCTCTCTCTCTCTCTCTCTCTCTCTCTCTCTCTCTGTGACAATGACCTACATAACTATGATTGCTAAAAGCAGAGTTATAGTGAAAGACGATAACATTTTTTTCCCTTTAATAGGAAAAGTTAGAGGAATAAAATGCGTCCTGTCTTTGGTTGTGCCACTCTGAATATTTATGCAAGGAGACTGCCTCACGTACATTTTTAAAATTGCTTCAATATGCAGGAGATACACGAGTGCATTAAAAAATTCATTTGCTCTGTCAGAAGAATGGTGATAGGCCTTTGCACTTAAAGTCTATTTGGAGTTTCTAAAGGTACGTTGGTGGGAGGTGTGCCTCTGTTTCTCACATGCTGAATCTTGTTTCACAGGGTAACACTTCTAGGTGTATTGTGTTTTAGTACACACCCATATACAAACTTCTCTATTATATGTATAATTAATAATACATAAGGGAGGAAGTGGAAAATCCAACCAAACGATTACAAAAAGAGTATGTAGATGCAGCAAAGGTTTTCTGTACCTGAACACTTCTAAGCCCCATCCTGCTACAGCAGTGAAAAGCCGTGGTCCCAAGTCTCTGGCAGGGTTGATCGGATAGCCGCAGTTCAGCGCCATGGACACTCCGATAGCCAGGATACTCAGACCAATAACCAGAGGCTCCATCCCTTTAGGTGCCCCGATATTCTTCTTATCTACTATGGCTAAAATACAGAGGACCAGGGCACCTGTGCCGATCACCTGTGTAAACAGAGACTAATGATCAGCAGAACATTCTCTCATGGAAGCCTGTTTTATCTCAAAGGAAAAACTAAAAAAGTAATAGTGAGATAAATTTAAAAAAAAAAATAAAGTTTAAAAAGTTATAAAGTTTAAAGTATCATTTAGGTTGTTTTTTTTAATTAGTTTTTTGGTAAAACGTTCTCCACCAGTTATTTCTATGCTTATGATTGATTTTTACTGTCCCTTCCTTTTAACTCAAATAATTCAAACCACAAGCTTTAACACCATTTGACTGTATAATAACCAGTGAAATCTGATAGTTTGAATAATGAATTACTGTGTTACACTCACCTGATCAACAAATCCATTTAACAATGAGAGATCTTCACGTGGATATGAAGCAAAGATGCCTGCTGTGGCATTTTGACCAGTAACACGCAGATGTCCATCAGAGAAATTGGCAAAGGCACCTATGAACGAGAATTTTTGTAAGGTGTTTTATGCTGAAAAATGCAAATGCAAAAGAGTTGCTGCAAAGGATAGATTTTAACATCCATCAACTTTTCATTTCAACTATACTATTTTAGAAATTAATTAATAGGAAGTAATTTGACGACTGTTAAATCTAATGTCTAATCTAAATCTTTAAAAGGTCAAAACAAGCCAGATCATTTAGTTTGAGTTGTGTGTGTCTAATATAGGCCTATGGATGTATGTAAGTATACTTTAGCAGACTGCCATAGAAGAGGAGTCAATAACAGAAGCAATAACATAGAAGTGCACTGAAAACTTACCATAGTATAGACCATAGACAGCACAAGACCCGCAAAGGCACCAAGGAATTGAGCTGCCACGTAGACAGGAAATTTCTTTATTGGGAGTTTCCCCACGACAACCATAGCCAGAGAAACCGCTGGGTTCACATGTCCACCTGCAATAAGATGCAGTAATTGAGAGACTCCAAACCTTTGATGACAGCAAATTATTTGTATTGGTTCTAGTGGTCCACTATTTTATGGTGATTTTGTATTGATTGAGGTTTGTATAAAAGCATTATTGTCTAATACAATCAAAGGGATACACTGTGTCATTCATTTCAAACTCAGTTATTTGTTTTCTCTCACTGCTATATGCTCTCACTTTCAGAGAGTTCCTCATAAACACTGTCAACAAAAACTAGTCGAGGAAGTCAATGGGAATTGGGTCTGACATAATCTGGCTGAGTGTTCTGACATCACAGCAGGGCTTAGGAGTAACTCTGCTTTGACACAAGAGCGCTCAGGCCTGTAGAACTGTCTGTGACCCCACCGTACACACCGCTTAAGCTCTCATGCCAGCAAAACGGAATGGAAAACACTGGCCTTCCTGAACCACGTAAGCTTGAACTGATTTCTCAATCGATTGGTAGCTGATTAAATGTAAAAACGCAGTGATTTAGGACCTTGTCTGGTTTTTTCATTTTTCTTGATTTCAGTTTTGGCCCATTATATTCATTAAGGAGGAATCCAATATTGTTGTTTGGGTCTTTTGAACTTCATCACATTGAAGAGAGCAGAATCTAAAAAGCAACATTACATATTACACATTACATATTACATTATTTTTGTAAACCAGAATTAAAAAAAATTCATTCACAAGAATTATTACATTACAGAAATATATTTCCATTATGTAGAGTCAGTTTAAAGGCTTAATAATGATGGGCCAGTGCCTACACCTGACTTCACCGTGGGACATATGCTCCAGAAAAGCTCATTAGTTCAATACTGTAGTCATCATCACAGCGTGTAAGATTATCACATTCACAGTCATGTGGGCTGCTGGGCAAACCAACTTATTCATGCACAAATGCACACTTTAAACTGCAGAACTCGGGCTATATTTAACATTGCATGCATATAGATTTATTATATATTGCTCACTGTACACAGTGAGAAGCGAGAACGCTGGCAGCATATGATGAGGAACAGATCTGAAGCTCATGACTTGTCCCCCCTGATAATTCAGTTGCATGCATCACCAAAATCACACATGCACAATTGCACAATTCTAGAAGCCACAACTGACGGATAAACCACACGGTCTTATGCCCCTCAACATATCTCCTCTGCACAACCCGACCTGCAACACAACCCTTTCCTCAAGGCAACATCATTGTCCTTTTATTAAAGTTTTCTTTTTTATTGTTGTTGTTATTAATAATAATAATAATTACAAATTAATACTAATAATAATAGCATTTTTTCTTTGTGGCTTTCCTTGATGTCATCTTCTGTGTGTAATTGCAATAAAAACAATATTTCTTAAATGAAATGTAAACCTTAATAAAAGGACAATGAATAATAATAATAATACTTATTATTATGAAATAAAATATTAAATGTTTATAAAAAATTTAATATGTATTAAAAATGCTAACATGAATAGGATAATTTATTATTATTGTTATATTTATTATCCAATGTTATTATTTTATGTAGGCCTAATAATTGTTTTTTTAAGATAACCACTTTAACTGTTCACAATGCTGGTGTGTGTTTACCATACTGCGACGTAACTCACTTGCTTAAATACCATAGTACGATGAAGAATTCAACTAGCTAGACTGTTTCCCGAAACCGTATTGTTGCAAATTTGTCGTTCAACCAAGTTAAGTTGGTTAATGATGTCACGCAGGCTGGTGGAGTAATAACTTCTTTTAACTAATTCTTTTGAGTTCAATTAATGCTGTTCGAATGAATGGCAGATTTTTTACTATGAATTAAGGACATCGCATCTGAGGACTAATTCTCATTGTCATTCTCAGTTATTCCAAAGCGCTGGAATAATCTACCTCTACATCTTAGACTGGCTCCTTCTTTCGGTTATTTTGAACAAAACCTGAAATTACATTTACTTGAATTGGCATTTGGTTCAGTAGGCTAATTGGCAAGAGGCTCTTAACAGATGTTGTTAGTCATTTTTGTTTGAAAGTACATTTTATTTGTGTAATTTTACTGTGTGATTGTACAGCACATTGGTCAACATTATGTTGTTTTAATTGTGTTTATAAATAAATAAACAAACAAAAATGTTGCTTTATTTCCCAGAATCAATCATAGACTCACTAGAGATTGGAACACAGTTGTATTTCTACTTTTTAATGTCAAATAACTCAAATCTCTTGACAAACTAAAAGATGTAAATGACATTTGTATATATTCTAAATAAAAGATAGAGATTGTACTGAATGCCAGCTTGCTTTATTTTGCTCAAGATAAGGGCTTCGCTTTGGCTCAATTCTCAAATGAGACTTTTTTTCTCTCAAAACAAAAGTTTAGCTCTCTGAAAGATTAGTTTCTTGTTCACATCAGACTTGAATTTGGAATGCAATAGGAATCACAATCTTATCAATCATCCAATCAAGTTTGAAACTATATATACCGGTATATATGACAGCACAATCACCACCATTATTGAACATGGAGGAACATCACAACCCTGAACAGCAGCAGCTATCAGTACTGTATAAATACATTTGTATTTTTGTAAAATGTTTTACATTTAAACTGAAATTCTTTTCACGGAAGAGCAATAGACGGATATATAAGAAGATATGCAATGTCTGTATGTGTTAGTTAGAGAGAGACATAATAGTGTTCTAAAAATGAACAAGCAACTGAAAATTTTAAGTTTACATGTAACACATTTCTGCAAAAATAATATGAACTGTATAAATACAAATGTTCATTTTCTTTTTGTGTACTACAGTATTGACTTTCCCCAGTCAATTATTACCTACTCTCAGAATCTGTATTTACACAGACAAAACTGATATTCTTGACATGTATAGCATAGAAAGCAGTTAGTGTCAATAATAAAGTAAGGGAAAAAATGAAATTTGTATAACATGGTGAAAAACCATGGTGAAAAAAAAAACCATCTAAACATTCTGACCAGTGTGCATCACCAATGACACTTTTTTTTTTCTTTTTCTTTTTGCCATTGGCCAATTTATTGACACAATAACTAAGTTTTGAAGCATGAATTAAATGTTTTGGGTGAGTTACTACATTTTGCAGACATGCAATAGAGTTGTGATGTCCAGCAAACGGTTGTGACAATTGCACTTACAGTTTCACAAGTTCACAGTTACAAAAAAAATGAGCCAGATAGAGAATATGTATTTGGCGTGCTGTCTGAGGAGAGGGCTCCGGGCTCAGTATTTGGCCCAAACCCAGAGTACACCCCCCGTATTCCTGGCTGTGGTAGGAACCAGCCAAGAGTGAGGAGTCGGGGTGGTGGAGGGATGGTGAGAAACTGTCGAGGAACGTAGGTGAGTCGACTGTGTATACTGTATATAGGTCTCCTCTCATGCTGATAGGATAGAGATGATAATTGCTGATGACATGTTGATTGGATAGATCATTTGAACGTGCTCCTCCCGAATACTTTGTTAATGAAACATCCTTTAGAGAATGTTTTGAAAAAAGCCAAAGCGTTGAGAAAAACTGTAAGTTCGCATGTCATGCAAACAAGAAAATGTGCTAACCACAGGTCAAGAGCTGTAGTTTCGGGAAACACGGACTCGTTTAACTATGCTGATAACGACGGGACATGCGACCATAGTTGGTCAACAATGCTTTTGGGAAACACACCCCTGGTAAAACTGCGACTCTGTGACAGACATTCTCACATGAACTGTGCTAAGTTGTTACTGTGACACTAATGAGAACATATGGGCCAGGGTGAGGCATCCTGTAACATCTAGAGGTCCTTTCTGTGTGCACTCAGATTCAGGAGGTATGGGTGCCAGAGAGTAAAAGAATAAGGGAAATATCTCCCGAAGGCTTTGGAGAGAGAGAGTGGTTTGCATCTCAAGATCTCTTGTGGGTTTCTTCTACATACAATATATGAATGCACAACACACGAAACATAGGACATGCTTTCTGCAAGTCTAGATTTATGCTACTACTCATTCGAAAATGAGATTATCTGGAGTCTATTCACCTGAGAGCAGTGAGGTTAGTCTAAGTGGATCAGTGTAGTCAATTATTGCCAATACTGTTTTGCCACTTTGTCTTATCGCGTAAATGTGCTCTTATGTATGTTTTTTGTTGTTGTTGTTGTTGCTTCTCATTTAAAGGAAATGATAAAACAAATTCCTGGAATCCTCATTATTGTAACACATTATAATAAAAGCTTCACCTCACCATAATCCTTGAGGAATTCACTTAATGAAGGGCCAGGCATACGTTTCCAATCTGGTATATCAAACCGACACACGCCTCTACTTGACACTAAGCCTTATGCAAGTTTTAAGAACATGTATTGAGCCATCATTTTCTCCTCCCCCTGTCTATCACTACAGTGTATTTTTGAGGGGAGAAACCGAGCGCCTCAAATACAATAAGCACAAGGTTTTCCTCCTCTATTATGTCGTTCATTAATCCTAAAATTTGTATGGAAGCACAAGATCTCTTATGCACTGAAGCAAATCCAACCCTTCACTCTCTTTCTCTTTGGGGTCAAAGGTCAAGATGGAATACTCAGCATGGGGCCATATTTGATCCAGCTGTCTAAGGCTTAGTACAGCATGAAATTATTTTTCTACCTCACAAGCCATTTTACTCCTTTGACCAGGTTTACAGTAGGTTTTAATAGAATAAACAGACATAAACTTGCCAAAACGGAGGAATAAAATTGAGCCGTATATGTGGTATCGGTTATAGTATGGATATTGTAGTGCTGCATATGGCGAATAGGTGAGTACATCCATAGACAGTAAAAGAAATGGACAGAGCGATCTCATTGGAACTCAGTTGAGACAGTTGAAGCCCACTTTTAGCGATTTTTGAGAACTTCCGTTCCTGACGCGCAGACTCAGACCGACTCAAACTAAGCTTGATGACGTGAGCAACCTGTCTGACAGACGTTAATCTTCTAGTAGCTGTGCGTGAAAACTGCCAACGTTAATCTTGCAGAGACGGGGAACTTGAGCAAAGAGTTCTTTGGCGTGAGTGAGCAGGAGTAAGAATTCCGTTGCTTTTATGGACTCATTATCTATGGGCTTCTCCCTTGACGGGACGTCCCCCCGATTGCCTGCGAGCTTCTCCTCCTGTCTGTACGGTACTTCTGTACAGCGCGACTTCGGTTATGACGCAATCGTTAGCCTATTTTTACTAAATCTGTTTCTACGGGGCCATAGTAACATAGAAGGTAATGGAGCCCTTTATACATTGTCGTGTTTCTTTAGAAATAAATAATGGACAAATGGAGTCTTTAAACGCCTCAGATGTAAAGTTATTCGCTGTCAAAGTGACGCAAAAATGAATGGGAGTCAATGGAAATGCTAACGCAAGTGAAGTTCTGCTACAACATGGCGGCACCCGGCCGGCTTCAACTTCCGGTCGATGGATTACCCCCTTGAGTACATCGCATGTTTGTTGAGCATGATCAAAGATCACAAACAACTGTGTGAAAAACAGCCCTGATGGATAGCTAAATATGACCTTTGAAATGAAAAGATGCTTTGAACTCGCTGTCCCAGTGCCTTTTCTCAATCAACTGAACATGTATATTTGAATAATTTCAACAATTGAATCGCAAAGTTCCATTAAATTTGTGTTTTATTTTTTGATAGCAGACTATTTTGGTAACTGACTGTAAGGTGAATTGAAGTTTATGCAGTACGTTATCTTCTATACTTCTCTATTCGCCAGTGTGACGAGTTACCTGACACGCCTCCTGCCATGTACACAGCCAGCATCACCCCTAGAGTAAAGCCAAAGTGGATGGTGAGATCTTCTCCATGTGTGCCTCTGCTCAGGACCTTTTGGGCCACTGAACCACAAACCGAACAGCTGTAAACAGGAAATGGGCAGAGAGAAGACAATTTAGGAAGACAATTAGTGGAAAAAGCTACCGCCATGCAGATAGGAAAAGCACTCTCTTGTTTGTGGAGCACTTATTCAAAACTAATTAGTATAGCAGCTTGTTCAAAAGCTCAGTCCATTATGGTCAGGGGCCGCACCCTAAAGCAACTAAATCTGTCATGTTGAATCAAAATCTTTTCACTTAATTAACACCAGTAGAACACAATGTAGAAAAAGTCTGTGTATTTCATGTTTTAAAATCTAAATTTAAAAAATATATATATATTATAAGTAAAATAAGATGTATCATATTAGTCATCAAAGCATCAGGTAGTCAATTTTGTAGTAAAATGTATTTCTCTTTAAAGTAATACTGCATGGGGCATGTTGTTAGTCTATATGGGATAAGTTGTCAAACCTGACATGACAAAAATTTCAACAGTTAAACAATTATGAAACACAAACACACACAGTTCACAAAACTGCAAAATGTACAAGTACAATACGAACAAATAAATTATAACATTTATTAAACATGACAGTTTGTCACAGCATCTTTCAGACTTTATGAAAAATACATTTGTCCTGAGAATAGTTCAACTTTACAGTAACAAAAAAACAGCTTTATAATATATAGCAATAATAATATCCTATTATTATTGGAACTTTATTTTGGGGAACAGAATTGCCAAAAATTTGTTGACACTAATTGTCAACTTTTAAAGGGTTTTGAACGAGGTGCTTAAAAACTAACATATAAAACCACTGCCAGAGAAAATGAGTGTTTGTAATTGGACTTTTTTACACCAAATCCTTATACAGTAGTTACTGAAATCAAGTCATTGACAACTTAAACCATATCTAATTAAATAGCCATTATAATTGATCAATAAGAAGCATAAAATAAGAAGACACTAAATGCTAGTTTACATCACTCAAGGGTGTTGCATTTAATGCAATGCATTTAGTCTAAAATGTTATGGTTACAAAAGCTGCTATAACCATACTAATATGTGGTTTATAAGATGTTAAGAGCTTCCTTTAAATTGAAAGAATATCAACCTCAACACCCCTATACGACAAGAATGAAATAAGTTGACAGACTGATTTATATTAAACTAAAAAATGGACACAAAACATTTCATTACACTTGAAACATTCATTATAATTCTGATGCATTTACTGTACATCAAACTGTGTTGTTAATCTCAGTTTACAAGTTCTGAAGTTCTGACAGGCAAAAGACTTACTATTAATACGAATGTCCCCAGTAATTCTGCCAGAAACTCTCTTATGATGTCCCGCCTCAACATGCATTTGCCCTCAAATTTTCTCATGTTTTCGGAGCTCATAGTTTCCCCGCCAGTGAGATGTGATGTCCGGACAGACAGTTGAAGAGCTGAGCCCGCTGGAGTTTGAGTGTCTTAGGCTTTAACCTTCCCCGCCCCTCCTGCTGCTACTTAGATGTCATTAAACACACTGACATGACAGGTTGGTGGTTCCTCTTTGCTCTCACTCTATCCATCCTCTTCGTGCTGAGACAAATACGAGTTCGATCAAGAAAATATCATTACGTAGCTTATTTGTTCAACTATCGTTTGCGAACTTTTGCCGAAGAGACGATCGAGTCTCTGAGAAATCAGTAGACACGTTTCAATTAATCTTGTTTACGAGGTGTAAAAAAGGTAATAAAAAAAATCACACATTTATAGATTTTTAATTATAATTATTAACAGAAGTTAACCGAAGCTAATAGGTTACACTACATTTCAGTTCAATAAAGTGACGCCTGATTTTTTTCTGTCTGAAAAAAAACCCAGTATAATTTATATTTATATATATATATATATATATAAATGCAATTCATTTTTTTTTTTCATTAATACATTTACTGTTTTTGTTGAGCTTTAACAAAAAAGTGTAAAAAGGACCGAAAAAAAATGATGCAATATTTATTGCTTTCTTTTGATGTTGACAGCAATAGGCCAATGTATTTACAAGCAATCGTATATATTTTTTAAATTATCATCATCATCATTTATTTGTCAATGACCTACGGCACATAGGCCTATGTGAACTGAAAAACACATGCACAAAAAACAACACTAGGTAGGCCTATTTGTTTTAATTTAGTCTCTAAATACAACATATCAGTGTTTTGCATAGCCTTATTCATTGGATTTCTTATTCTTGTAAGTTCTTCTCATTCAGAGAAGCATCACAGCACAGCTTCAACTTGTAATGCATATATTTGTCCACCGGGTGGAGCTGTTTGACAAAGTAAAAACAAAGAGGGCCAGAGTTCGGCGGTGGCGTCCCATGGCTGTGGTGTGAATCAGAAGAAGCGATAGGATGGTAGCGGTATGTTTTGT